GAAAAAAAAAAAAAAAAAAACAAACCTGATAAAAGTGATAGAAGACTGTATTCAACATAATATAAGCCAGGATCACCATTAAGAGTATAATTTACACATCTGCCCTTAGGGAACAATAGAATAGTCAAGGCTTCCTGACAATACAGGTGGTCCCTTATGCACAAGAACTAGAAACTCATTTGGGGATGGGTGGTGCTGTAAAGAACCTTGGGTTTAAGATGTCTTTAGATAAAGATAGATCATTTAAAGTGAAGAAGAAGTCCACAAACACAGAAAAGTGGGAGTTGGAGAAATGAAAATGTGTACCACTATTAGAGGCCCTGAAGAAGCTCTGGTGGTGTAATAGTTAAGCACTCGGCTGCTAACAAAGGTTGGCAGTTTGAACCGACCCAGAGCTCCCCAGGAGAAAGACTTGGTGATCTGCTCCCATAAAAATTACAGCCTAGAAAACCCTATGGGGCAGTTTTACTCTATCACATGGGGTCACTATGAGTCAAAAATCTACTCAATGGCACCCAACAACAATAACAACATTGGAGTCTCTAGATTTAGAGTGCAGATCAAGAGGACAGGCCACCGCTGGGTACAAGAGTTGGGCAACACCAAAAGGGCCAGCTAAAGCACAAAGCAGTAAAGTGGGCGGAGCTGAGACAAGCTGCATCCTTTGGTTCTAGGAGAACTAGAAGCAGCTATTTGGAAAGACCCATATGGTCTGAGGTAAGTCCCTCCCTGGTGCTATTCTAAACAGTGGTTTACAGAATTTTTTAAAAATTAAAACAAAGAAATAGAATTTACACTTCAACTCAGCACACACTCATGTATACACATACAACACATAACAGAAGTTTCTCTAAATAGTACCTACGCTTATTAAGTTTGGTATACTCTGTTACAGTACGTCGATTTATATTCTTTTTATATAAAAAAAAAACTGCTGGGCTCAACCAACTAAACTGATTTTGAAACGCCCTAATGCATCATGCCCTGAGGGTCCCCTTAGGTCATACCTAAGCTCAAATCCTGTCCCTCCACTGGTCACATTTCTGATGTCTCTCACTTACTTTAGAATAGCGTTCAAACCAGCCTGGCATTAAGGCCTTTTATCATCCACCCCAAACCATTTTTTAATCTTAATCTTCCACAACATCTCCTAAAGAAGCCTACATCCCCGTAAAAATGATCTGCTTGTTGCCCCCTTTTCACATCCTAGATTTTCCACCCTTCGCTCTCCCTGGGATGTGTTTCTCATCATTTATTTCCACCAATCCAAATCCTTCTGATCCCTGGAGGCCAGCTAAAGTGGCCCCTCCACACTGAACAATTTTCTCCTGCCTCCAGAAGTCTATGCACTTTATCTTTGCTACCTCTCCAGTGTCCACTCAGACACACCCTACCATCACCACCCCCATCTCCCACACTGCGCCACTTTCAGAACCCAAGCACACAGCTTTACAAGGGAAATTACTTCAGGCATTGACTGAAGAACCAAATATGCATCTTCCATGTAGGAACTCAAGAGATTTGATGTGCTGAACACTAATGACCAAAGACCAGACAAGTTTTGGAATGACATCAAGGACATCATACATGAAGAAAGCAAGAGGTCATTAAAAAGACAGGAAAAAAAGAAAAGACCAAAATGGATGTCAGAAGACACTCTGAAACTTGCTCTTGAACGTGGAGTAGCTAAAGCAAAAGAAGAAATGATGAAGTAAAAGAGCTAAATAGAAGATTTCAAAGGGCGGCTCGAGAAGACAAAGTATTATAATGACATGTGCAAAGAGCTGGAGATAGAAAACCAAAAGGGAAAACATGCTTGGCATTTCTCAAGCTGAAAGAACTGAAAAAAAAAATTCAAGCCTCGAGTTGCAACAGTGAAGGATTCTTTGGGAAAATATTGAAAGATGCAGGAAGCATCAAAAGAAGATGGAAGGAATACACAGAGTCATTATTCCAAAAAGAATTGGTCGACGTTCAACAATTTCAAGAGGTAGCTTATGATCAGGAACCGATGGTACTGAAGGAAGAAGTCCAAGCTGCACTGAAGGCACTGGTGAAAAACAAGGCTTCAGGTATTAACGGAATATCAATTGAGATGTTTCAACAAACGGATGCAGAACTGGAAGTGCTCACTCATCTACGCCAAGAAATCTGGAAGACAGCTACCTGGTCAACCGACTGGAAGAGATCCGTATCTATGCCTATTCCCAAGAAAGGTGATCCACCCAAATGCAGAAATTATCAAACAATATTGTTAATATCACACATAAGTAAAATTTTGCTGAAGATCATTCAAAAGCGGCTGCAGCAGTATATCGACAGGGAACTGCCAGAAATTCAGGCCGGATTCAGAAGAGGACGTGGAACAAGGGATATCGTTGCTGATGTAAGATGGATCCTGGTTGAAAGCAGAGAATACCAGAAAGATGTTTACCTGTGTTTTATTGACTATGCAAAGGCATCCAACTGTGTAGATCATAACAAATTATGGGTAACATTGCGAAGAAATGAGAATTCCAGAACCGCGCTCATGAGGAACCTGTACATAGATCAAGAGGCGATTGCTCGAGCAGAACAAGGGGATGCTGCATGGTTCAAAGTCAGGAAAGGTGTGCATCAGGGTTGTATCCTTTTACCATACTCTATCTGTATGCTGAGCAAATAATCTGAGAAGCTGGACTATATGAAGAAAAACTTCGCATCAGGATTAGAGGAAGACTCATTAACAACCTGCATTATGCAAATGACACAACCTTGCTTGCTGAAAGTGAAGAGGACTTGAAGCGCTTCTGATGAAGGTCAAAGACCACAGCCTTCAGTATAGATTACACTTCAACATAAAGATAACAAAAATCCTCACAACTGGACCAATAAGCAACATCATAATAAATGGAGAAAAGATTGAAGTTGTCAAGGATTTCATTTTACTTGGATCCACAATCAACACCCATGGATGCAACAGTCAAGAAATCAAATGACATATTGCATTGGGCAAAACTGCTGCAAAAGACCTCTGTAAAGTATTGAAAAACAAAGATGTCACCTTGAAGCGTAAGATGCACCTGACCCAAGTCATGGTATTTCTAATCACATTATATGCATGCGAAAGCTGGACAATGAATAAGAAGATGGAAGAAGAATTGACGCCTTTGAATTGTGGTGTTGGCGAATGATACTGAATATACCATGGACTGCCAAAGAACAAACAAATCTGTCTTAGAAGAAGTACAACCAGAATGCTCCTCAGAAGCAAGGATGGCGAGACTGCGTGTTACATACTTTGGACACGTTATCTGGAGGAATCAGTTCCTTGGAGAAGGACATCTTGGTAAGGTACAGGGTCAGCGAAAAAGAGGAGGACCCTCAACAGATGGACTGACACAGTGGCTGCAACAGAGGCTCAAGCGTAACAATGTCTGTGAGCATGGCACAGGACCAGGCAGTGTTTCATTTGTAGTACAGAGGGTCGCTATGAGTCAAAACTGAGTCGAAGGCACCTAACAACAACAACAACAACATGTAGGAACTGCCTCCGAGGGACGGTTAAAGACTCTTGAGGCTGAAGATTCAGAAATTTTAGGTCAGGGCTCAAACCACCAAAAATCCCTTACCAAAACTAGACCCTCATATTCTCTTCAGCAGATATTCTACCTTTAGCCTTTGAAACAATGGTTATAACAGCATTACAAGAAAATATTAGAGAATATTTACCTTAATAAATTTTTTAATAGAATTCTTCTTTCAATTAAAAAAGTAGCCTAAATGTAAGTAGGAACTTAGCAATAAAGCTATGTTTCATTATTTCAACTTCTCTTACTTAAAACCTAATCTCTTAAATGAGATAAAGCTATGCATAAGAGATGGAGCCCTGGCTGTACAGTGGTTAAGCGCTCAGCTGCTAACCAAAAGGTTGGCAGTTTGAATCCACCAGCCACTCCTTGGAAACCCTATGGGGCAGTTCTACTCTGTCCTACAGGGTCGCTATAAGTCAGAATTAACTCGACTGCAACGAGTTTTGTTTTTGGTTTTGTTTCAAAGACAAAATATTCCACATCATCTTTCAATCATGAAGTTTCATTTCAGCCTCCTCCAGTTAAATAGTTAAAAGAACTTTCTTAGGGCTACCACAGGAATGTTAGCATCAAAAGGTCTTTAACCTCTATGCAAATATATTTTAAATTGATCTTCTAATAACTTCCTCCTTTAACAAATATTTATCAAGTAACTGCTTTGTACTCAAACACTAAGCTAGAACTCAATGGGTGTTTGAGGCACTAAACTGAAAATGCTACACTTCCAAAGCAGATAATTGGATCATGACAGATTCAGACTCATTATCTGAAACTGAAATTCATACACATGTGCTCATATTGCTGTACTACGAAGAACCAGTAAGCAGTAAGTGAGAAAATTCTAAACGTACTGTCAAGGTAAAATACTTCAAACAAGTACACAATGTGATAAATTACAAGAGGGGAAGGATTGAAAAAAACATAAAAACCCTTGGAGAATTTGTTAATCCTTTTGTTAATATTGCTCAACTGTGAAGTAAATCAAGGCAGATACTAAATATCTGTATAGAATATACTCCTATTCTAACATTTGTAAAGCAAGAACCATTAACACCATTTGATAAGTAGGGTTGCTATGAGTTGGAATCGACTCAATGGCAATGGTTTTGTTTTTTTTTTTTTTTGGTTTAGTCCTTTCCTTTATGTAAGCAACACATATTGCTTATGCTCAAATTAACTATGATTCTTTAAAATGTATGAAATAGCCCCACTATGCTATATTTAAGCCTTTCAAATATTTTAAGTCTGGTTGGCCATGCCAACGGTGAAATTATTCAAATAGGCAATAATTTTACAACCACAAGTAGATATTTTTAGGAATGATAGTTACAAAACAGAAAAAATGAATTTATCAATGATTATCTATTTTTACTATTGTGTTAAGTCTTATTGTGAATGCATGCTAACAATCTCAATGAATAGTCTTACCTTAAATATGTGCCATATATGTAGAATAATGCCATCATTAGTCCATTTAAAAAAAAAATGACAGCCACATAAAAGCAAGCAGGATCTCCCAAACCTTTAAAAATAAGCAAAACATAAGTTACCAACATTAAATTCACTTACGTGTCTAGCAATTTTTATTAAAATGTGGCTTATTTTGAAAAACAGTTACCATTGGTTCCCATGTGGAAACACAGCACTACTGTAGAACATAAAGAGAAATAGGAAAGTAGCTGCTTGGTTTTAAAATAAGGCTGCAAATTATCTGACATTCCTCTTACTCAGATGTAGGGTCTATACCCTTTGCCTTTGAGCCTGTGTGTGTTCAAGACTGCTTCAAAACGATATGGTCGAAGCAATATAATGATGTGACTTCCAGGGCTCGCTCATAAAAGGCCATGCAGTTTCCAGCTTGTTCACTGAAATGCTCACTCTTGCAGCCCTGAGCTGCAAGTGAAAAGCCTGACTACCCTGAGGTACCAGGTTATAAAAAGCCCAAGTCGTGGAAAGGCCACATGTAGGCATCCCAGTTGACAGCAGGGACTAACCTTGAGGTCATCCCAGCCAGGAGCCAGACATGTGAGTGAAGAAGCCCCAGTTGACTCCAGTCTCCCCAGACACTCAAGTTTTACTAATAGCAGAAGCCCTGACATCACTGAGGAGAGACAAACCATACCCGCTGTATCCTGTCCCAATTCCTAACTCGTAGAACTCGTAAACATAATAAAATCGTTGTTTTATATCACTAAATTTGGGTTTTTATACCACCACTAAGTATGCTGCAACAGATAACAGGACAGGATCATAGAAAGGACCTTGCCTTCACAGCTTTCAATAGGACTGAGTCCTTCTCCTCTGGTAACTGTCCAACATATCTTGGTTTGAATACCAATCAAGTCCATTATTTTGGTATACATCCGGTACCAGCTGGCTAAGATTACCTATTTAAAAAAGAGAGAGAGAGAGATAATAATAAAAGATTATCCTCAACAACTTCCATTACTAAAATATTTTTAAAAATATTTTGGCAATTATCAAATTTTCCCTTCCTGGGACATAGACTTGACTCTCTTTAAAATCTAGTAAAATGAGCCTCAAAATCCCCACCTAGATTCTTCACTGGTCAGTCTGCAACTGTTCATAAATATGAAAGATTTATATTTTAAAAAGCTATGAAACTCTTACTAAGGGACACAAAAGATGATTTAAACAAATAAAGATACGGTGTCTTCTCGGAAAAAAAAAAACAAACAGAAAAACCCACTGCAGTCAAGTTGATCGAGACTTATGGCAACCCGAGGTGTTACAGAGTAGACTGCTCCATAGAGTTTTCTTGGCTGAAATGTTTATGAAAGCAGATCATCAGGCCTTTCTTCTGCGGTGCTGCTGGGTGGGTTTGAACTGCCAATATTCAGGCTAGTTTTTATTGTTGCTGTTGTTGTGTACTATAGCGTTGATTCTGACTAACAGCAAACCTGTATGACAGAGGAGAACTTCCCCAAAGGGTTCCCTAGGCTATGATCTTTATGGGAGCAAACTGCCAGGGCTTTCTGGGCTAACAGCCATGACCGAATTGTTTGTACCACTCAGGGACCTTATATCTTCTTGAATAGAAGTGAATTCTCCCTCATATACATTCCAAACATAAAACAATTCCAATCAAAATTTCAAGTGTCTAAAATTTATCTAGAAGAATAAAGAAAAGGAGACAACTGAAGGGAAGTCCTAACAGATACTAAAACTTCTTACTAATGATAATTAAAATAATGTGACACTGGCCCAGGAGGAGCCAGACAGATCAAGATAACTGTGGTGGAGGTGGTGTGTGTCGCCAAACCCCGCTTCTGGGCGGAGGCACTCATCCCCCCGATCTGGGATGGTTAGTGACTGACAGCTCTCAACTGAATCTTTCTCTGGAAACTAGCAAGACTTCATTCAAGGTCATATCCTCTATCGAAGAGCAATCTGCGCCCAATGACTGACTAGTCAATAGGGAAGGACCCTGGACCCTTGCCTCGAGGTGGGAAACTACTTCAAACCAATGGGAGAGGACGCGCTACTAACTAAAGTGTTAGGTACACAACAAAAGACCGTTTTGAAAAAACAAAGTTAGATTCCTACACCACACGATAGATCAAAAGAATTCCAGATAAAGATTTAAATGTCAAATATTAAATTATAAAAGGAGGATTTTTTACATATACTGAAAAAAAAATTAAAAAGATTCATAGGTATGAGTTTTCTGTACTAAAAAAAAAAAGTACACATCCTACACAAAGCTAAAAGGCAAACAAAAAAATTAGAGAAAGTATTTTATACATACAGCATAGTATTACATTTTTCATATAATAAATGAGCTCTTATATAAGATTTAAGTAGAAATATAAAGGACATGAACCAGCAATTATTTAAAAGTGCAAATGCATATAAGTGTATGTGTATATGTGTATACATATATGGAAAGGAATGAAATACATCATGTAACTTCAAGTTCTTTTTTGTTTATCAAGTTAGCAAGAATGCAGGTAAACAAGCATTTTCAAAAACTGTGCTGGTGGGAATTTCAATTAGTACAATCTTTCGGAAGGCATTTCAGCAACATGTATCAAAATCATTAAAGCATATGTTCTGTTGAACCCAATGGTTCCACATCAACAAATTCACAGTTAAAACAAAAAAAGATTTAGTTAGAAATTTGCTTGCTGAAGCTTTGTTTAGAATATTTAAAAAATTAAAAACAACCAGAATTTTTCTAAGAGGCTAACTAAACTATGGTAGATTATACAATGAAATATTATCTAGTCATTAAAAATGATGCTTATCTAATCATTAAAAATGATGCTGTAGCAAAAAATATGACAGTGGAAGACAGTTACACATATTCTTAAAAGACAAAAATCACTTATGAAAAAAGGTATGCTAGCACAGCCATCCGGATCAATGGAGGAGTTACTCTTCGCTCAATGAAATGGGTTTTCAAAAACTCCTAGTCACCTTCCTCGAATTATATGCAAAAAACTATAGAGATATTAAAAGTAAAACTCTTCATTTCAAGAAATTGTAAACAATACACATATAAGCTGCCATATATAAGCATTAGTTAAAACAACGGCAACGTAACACAATGTAATGGGACACAATATTATGAATTGAATTGTTTCCCACTAAAATATGTGCTGTAATCCTAACCCCCATACCTGTAGATGTAATCTAGTTTTGGAGTAGGGCTTTCTTGGTTATGTCAATTAGGCCATATCAGTGTAGGGGTGTCTTCCAAAACTAATCAATAAAACAAAAATAAAAAAAAAAGAAAAAAGGTATGCTACCTGATCCCATTTTCGTAAAAGTGTATATAGTTACAGGAAGTATTCAATAAGCACTACACTAGTAAGAAAACACTGAATCTTGGTGGGTATTTATTCCTCTCTAACAGATACTTCCTCGTTAGTCAATCAGTCCAACTCACTGATCTGGAAACTAGACTCCTCTCTCTCAATCGGCACTGGCTAACAGCCGGCTCTGTGCAGATACTGAGCTATGCGTTGGATCCCCGCAGTTACCAAGGCAGACACGACCCTGCCATCAGGCAGCTTGCTGTCTAGCAGGAAGGCACAGTAAATAAACCATGAGTACGCTAGGAAAAGAGAACACAGCAGAAGGGTGTGCGTAACAGGAGAGCCTCCTCCAGGGAGTCAAAGAGGATGTCACTGAGACAGACGCATCTAAGCTACCAGTACCAGATGCCGTCAACTGGATTCCAACCCATGGGGACCCCTTGTATCGGCCACTGGAAAATGCATAGGAGTGAGTCAAATGGAGTGATGGTAAAGGAGAGGTCATAAAATTTCCTGATATCAGCTTCCTCCCTAGCCTCCTGACCCAACTCCCTTCTCCCTCCGTCCAGCCCCAAGAAAGTGTTTTCAATAAAATGAGGAGTCCCAGGTAGGGAAGAAACAGTATTTGGCAAACGACATGTAAAAGTAATGGTGCTCCCCTGCTGTAACTCCTAAATGCACACAATTCTAGGCAGTTTTCATATTTTTTAAATAAAGCAATCATAACAATAGCTCCCAGAGAATCAAAGTCCCCCAAAATCAACAATGATCTTTTTTTCCATATTCCTTCCCAAGAAAAGATATTTACTTTAAAAAATAAAAATGAAATAAAATTTAATATCTTGAATTATATCTTAGATTTAGAATAAACTTAACGCAAATACAGTAAAAAAAAAAAAAAAAAAGAGTGAAAACACTCACTTGAATAAATAACTTACCTCGGGATAAAGATTGAACCGTTTTAATGTATTAATAACAAGGGGGTATTCAGTAAGCTTATCATTCATAATCATCCATACACCATTCAAAAATGAGGGTGCTTCCACAATAGTCTTGAAGTAGGAATAATATAGTCCCTAAAATAAACATAAACTCTAGTTATAATAAAAGGTACATAATTACTGTCTCAGCTTAAAAAAAAAACAACTTGAAATACACTGCTTTAAAAAAACAAAGCAATCAAGCAAGTAATAGCTATAATTAATTTCACAGTTTCTGATCACTGATAAATGCTTAGGTTGCAAAAAACTACATATTTGAGCATAGCCTTGTCTTAATCAAAACAAACTCAAAATTGCTTCAAAAATAGTTTCAGCACTTAAAATAATAATATACCTCAGCAAGCTTCATCTAAGAAAATCCTATAATGCATACTAATGTAAGTAATTAGAAGAGGCTAGCTTATGATCAGGGTGAGTAAGTGACTGACTGCAGAATTTCAATTTATCCTGAACCAAGAAACCTTCTCTAGCCAAAAACGCTTTCCTGTAACTGCTTATTCCTTATCCGAATCCCCAGAATGGCACTATCAGCCATCTTTGCCCTAGAATTACAGGCAAAAATGCAAATATCTTGGGAAGGCTACACAATGATGAATTACATATAAATTACATTGCAATACCAATTAATTTTACAGATGATTTTACTTCCTGTCATTTCAGCTATGGTAAGAACCCTATGGGATTAGGGCTGTGGGGTCAGGGATGGGAAACAATGGTGGTAGTCTTGTTTTGTGAGAAAGAGATCACTTTTTACTTGATTTGCTACTTTGAAAAGGTAGCAAGGGTGGAATAATACATGGGACAAAAAACAAAGTACTAGAAGCCTTAGGAGAGAGTATAATTGGTCATATAAGAGCAAGGCAAATAAACACAGGATACGAACTCCATCTTCTATACAGTTTTACCTAGAGCGGTCCTTTAAGGCTCACAGACATGCGAGTGATTTGCCTACTCAGGTATGTACTGAAAATGAAAAACACAGGTCTTGAAACTATAACATTGCAGCTCTCATAGCACTATTTTTAAAATTATATTTCCTAGCTTGTTTTGTGGGTTTGACTTTAGAATCATATAAATGTTTTTACTTAATTATAAAACAAAGTTTTAAATACCTAAACGTCAAAAGAAAAATGTAACAAAGAAATGTAACTATGTATCAACGTGGGAATTTAACCACATGAAGGTTTCAAGCAACTTTAAGATCAGCAATATTACTGTATATCCCTAGTGGAACATATTCAAAGGTCAAAAAGAACTACAAGAAAATCTTAGCCTGTTTTCAGTAATTCTACTTTTAGTAATACCATTAGTACTATTATTCCTAGCAAATAAGTACAGTCATGTGTGGCTTACCGTCCATGATACATTGTGTCACATAGGACGTTATATGATTTGGATGTGGTGCAAACACCATATTATATACAGCCAGTCACCAGGTTATGAATGTCCCACTTATGTACAACCTGTAGTTATGAACCAACCCCCATAAAGCCTATTATATTAAAAATTTGAGGTACATACAATGGTTCCTAATAACGAACCAGAGCTACTTTGTGACGTGCATCAAAACATTATTGTTATTACTACTGTATTATTACTCCGATCAGGATTTCTTAACTCTATTATAACCTTATGGGACCATGGACGTACATATGGTCAGACAGTGCCCGAATGGATGCTATGCAGCGCATGACTGTAATCTGAAACCAAGATTCTCACACTGAGAGAAAAGATACAAATATAATATCAAATAAATAAAAACCTTATAATCCCAAATTTGAATACAATAGGAATACAAATTAATGATTTATTTTCCTATGGAAAAAAGAAAAGGTGTGTTCCATAATTCTGTTTCCTAAAAATATACCTAGAAACAATGGCCAATCTAGTAACAATGAGCATCTCCAGCACCAAGACTATAGTCTCTAAATACCACTTGCCACTGAAAGGAATCAGACTCCTAGAAAAACGGGCTGATTCCAGGCCTGGGGAGGAAATGTAAAAGATGAGCCTTGTGGTACCAGAAATAAAGTATGGTATGGAATTCTCATGAGGTCACATCAAGGGGACAGACATAAGAATCAACTGCAAGGGATCTCATTAGCTAAACATAGGAAAATTTACAAATTATGTTAAAATTTATCAGTTCATAATGATACTCAAAAAGAAAAATGTCCATTCATCACCACAGGAAGGTGCTAGTGAAACAATATATTTTTCTGAAAACTGGTAAATAGAAAGAATCAAGCATCTCTCTGCCTTTCTTGTATGAAGTGTACGTCAGCGAAACAAATAGGTATTGTGGGAAAGTTCTTCATAGAAGAATTTCAGTTAATAAACACGGTGGGTAGGGGATGAAGACTAGATAATCTGTCTGACTGGCAACCCTAATGAAATAATTGATCTAGGCTGATGGCTAGATTATAATGGGGAGGAACAGTCTTAGAACACCTAAAGCCACTGATCAAATTTTAACAGCACAGTGAGACAACTAGTGCCCAGCACAGCCTATGAAGTATTCCTGTCAAGAAAAAAAAAACCAAAACCTCAAACATGCATCTTATCAAGGCTCTGATCTATTAATTTTCAGGAAACATGGAACACAGGGACATGATAAACACTACCACTGGAACGCAATCAGCCAAATGCAGAATGTGGGTAATTCTACAGGACAAATGACCTGGATTCGTCAACAAACGTCAAGGAAAACAAAACAACAACAAAAAAAAAAAAAAAAGGAAGAGGAACTTATAGATTAAAAGATTTAAGATATACATCAACCAAATGCAGGGTGTAGACATTTTTTGGACACCAGTTCAAACACACAAACTGCGGGGAAAAAAAAAAAAAAAGTCAATCAGGTCATTTAAATACTGATTTCGATGATATTAAGGAATTGTTAATTGTTTTAAGTGTGACAACGGTACTGTGGCTAAAAAAAACAAGAAGAGTCCCTGTTGTTTGAGATACATACGAAAGTATTTACAGATGAAGTGCTAGGATGTCTGGGATTTCCTTTAAAAAGAGTTTGGGAAGTGGGGTGGAGATGAAAGAAAAATGGCCGTGTGCTGTCAATTGTTGAAGCCTGGAGATGTTTAAGAGGGGTATTGTCCATTGTTTCTACTCTGGAATATCTTTGAAAATTTCCATAGTACAATGTTAAAAATTCCTGAAGTACCACAATAAAACACCACATAAAAACGAACCATTTCAGTGCGAAAAGCCATCTCCCTTTCCAATGTTGAGAGGTGAGAAAAATGACGATCATTTTCAAACAGGCGTGTTATATGACTCCTGCAAAAACAAAAGAATAAAGTGACAGTGTTGAAACTTACATTATTTATTATTTTTAAAAGAAACTCTAAAAGCAAAAATAAAATTATCCATAATTAGGAGGTAATTTTGTAATAAAATTCAAATTTAATGGTATCCGTATTCGTTTTTCCACTCAGTATGTGTTATGTTTCTGCTAAAATTTCTCTCTAAGAAAGCATTTAAATTAGATTTTAAAATTAAAATGAACTAGAATAATGATCTTTTACGTGAAGTACAATAAAATTGTATATTAAACTGTAAATGTCATTGAGTTACCATTTCAGAAATACCTGATTAATGAAATTTGTATTTCTCTCTATCCAGAGATTTTAAAAAATTAATCTTCTTCTCAACGTGAAAACTACATTAATGTTAAACAAAGTAGGGTCTCAACTACAGCCTCTTTAATAATGGATCTCTTTTTTATTAAAAAGTTACATTATTCTGACCTTATCAAGTAAGACTATTGGATCATATGTAATAATATATATTCATCATTATCATACTGAAGTTATTCCTTTAAATATATAGGAAATACCTTTGGTAAGTTATAAACACCTGCATAAAGATTACTATACAAGGAAAAACAATCTTACCAGTGCAACACGGCTGCAAAGGCAGCTGGAAGAAAAAAGAAATATAAATTACTATTTTAGCATAAAGAAATTTTTTCACCTTATAGAAAAGTATTTCAAAGATAAACATGTCAAAACTTCTGATGTGTAATGTTGGACTCTCAGCGATTTGGGAAAGAATACTGACTCTTCAAAAGAAGTGCCAAGGCTATGCTTTAAAGTACTAGTAGGCTGGGTCATAAGAGAATTAGAAGTATATCTACAATTCTCATCCACTCACTCATTCAACAAAAAATATTAGGGCCTACAGGAATCATCAGATAAAAACTACCACAAATGGAACTGAAAAAGGACTAGAACCAATAGGTAAAAATACCTTGAAATAAAGAAATATGGTGACCTTAATAGAGAACCCAAGGTAGAGAAGGGAGAGTACTGACACGTCATGAGATTGTTACCCAACACCATAAAACAATATATGTACTAACTGTTTAATAAGAAGCTAGTTTGTTCTGCAAACCTTCATCTAAAGTTCAATAAAAATAAAAATAAAAGAAATATGTGACCTTGGGGAACAG